TCGCCTCTGCTCTCGCCGCGCGGGCGGCTCCGGAGCGCGGGACCGCGGCGCTAGGCGCCCTCTGCAGCCGGGAAGCCGAATCTTCGCCCTAACCCTAACGCCGCCGCCCGGCCCAGCCTGGCCACGCGGCCCGCGCGCACGTGCGCCCCGCGCCCCCGTCCCTGCGCCCCAGTCCCTGCGGGCCTGAATGCTCTCCTACTAGAGGAGAGCGATGCACACGTGTCCGGATCTGGAGCCAGCGGGGACAGCCGAGCCTGGAGTACCCAAGTGCGCCCAGAGCCAGTGAACCAGGAAGGGAGAGGGGGGTGTCCTCTTTTGCAAAAGCAACGAACTTTACTGCATGGTCAACTGGCAACAGGTCAGGTTCGCTCAGATGTGCCTTCTACATCACTTGATAATGGGGGAATTTCTAGGAAAGAGGGGACTGGAAGGTGAGAAGGGAAGGTTTAGGGATCCGTGTTTCTTGGGGGTATCATGTTCTACCTGGGGGGGTGGGGGTTGAACTAGTCATATCGAGCAGTCATTGACCGCATGCCCATTATTTTAGCGTTGCTTTGAAGTGCCCCTTGGCAGGGAAGACTTGGCGGGTGCAGCTTGGTGCCTGACGCTGGCAGCCAGTGCTGTGACCAGGTGCTGGCCATCATCAGAGCACGGATTTTTACCTCCCTCCATCCAAGTAGGCTTTTACTCTTCTAGCGACAGAGATCTCGGCCTGTTTGTATCTTGTAAGTTACACGTGTGCACAGTGTAGGCTTGCCATAAATAAAATGGGATTCCTTGTTCCTTACCTCACCCTGGCATTAAAGCCCCACAGGGCCCAAAGCTAAATGCTATTAAGGGCTTTTAGTCAAACACACTTGGATTTTAAATCAACCACTTAAAATTTGAGCAATCTCAGGAAAGCTAATCTCCTAGGGCCACAGTTAACTCATCTGTAATCATCATAAAAGCTACTTCACAGGGTTGTGGTGAGGGTCCACTGAAGACTGTATGGCACTGAGCACAGCCCTGTGTGTGGTCCTATGCATGGTGCTTATCTGTTTTTACAGGTCTAGCAGGGACTGGAAAGCTGTGTAAGAAGGTGGCTTCTGAACTGCAGAGATGGCTCAGTAAGACTCGGGCCATGAACGTATGAGGACCTGAGTTTGGACCCAAATACATTTGACATTTTTGGCCTTTGGAACAGAGTTTGTTGCTAAGAGGACAAGGACATCGTGAGTTTTAGCCAAGAAACTACCTACTTTTCTTTGGGGTCTTTTTACCCTAACTGCCTAGCCAATTCCTACCTATTCTTATCACACCAAAAGGTTTTTATTTATGGGTATGTGTTTATGTGTGACCATGGAGGCCAGAAGAGGGCATCAGGTCCCCTGGAGCTGCAGTTACAGGTGGTTGTGAGCCACCTGACATGGGTGCTGGGAACCAAACTTGGGTCCCCTGGGAGAACAGCAAGTGCTCTTAGCTGTTGAGCCCTCTCTCCAGCCCCTAAGAAGCCTGCTTTTTCTCCTGAGGACAACTTAAGACCCTGTGTGGTGGTCCTGTCACCTCAGCAAGCAAAGTCAGCCCTGGGAACAAGGCCACCCCACCTCCTTCCCAGCATCCTCAGGAATTCACTGGTATGCTCAGAGGTCTGGTTCTTGTGCAGGTTTCCTGCCGGAGCATCTATGACCAGTCATAATTAGCAAAGTGCGTCTTTCAGTGACATCAAAGGCAGGGCACAGCTGGAGGCCCTTACTGTGGACTGCCTCTTCCTGATTGCTCTCTCAAACACACTTTGACCAGACATCACCTTCCTGGGCCACACATAAAGCAGTACAGTGCCATGCTGGTCCTATCCACCTGGGACTATCTGCACCCCAGTCCCATCACCTGTAAAGTGGAGAATAACACCTTAGCCCTGGAAGAGAAGAATGATCCAGTCTGTGAGGAACTCCCCAGTACAGGTGATTCATAAAGATGACTGTTTGTTTAGCAAGCATGTAAGAGCAGTGGCAGCTACCAAGTCAACATGTAAGCACACACGCACAGATGTCCCCCATCTACGGCAGAAGTGATAGCATGCAGCTTCACGTGAAATCAGTAAGCCTCAAGGACTAGCCTGTGAAGTGTGTCATGGTGTGGATTGTTTCCCCATTTATAACTGTAGTTGCTGTTTTCCTGTAAACATGATGTATATAACTTCCCAAGGCCACTGCTAAAAATTAGTATTTTTATGAGACATTGATATAGAAGTCAGTCCCTTAATGACTCCAATATTCCCTTACATGGGTAATCACCTGTTTTGTGTCTTTGTGAAAGTGCCATCGTTTACGGATTAGGGCTGTGTATCTTGAAGTCAGAATTTTCACCCACTATCCCACTGATGTCTGGGGAAGAAGCACGCTCACCAAAGTGACCCATCCCACACTGACCATGTGACTCAGTTGGCCCCTCTCAGGTTGACCGTATGACCCACTTTGTGCATACATTATGAGATCCCATCAGCTGAGGACTTGAGCCTTGCTGCTTGCTTTCTGGAGAGCTACCCTCAGACTGCCTTGAGCCCCAGCCCAACCAACCTCCTTTCAGATGAAAGATACCCCCCCAAGAGAGAAAAGCACACCACCCGATAGATGGGGGACATCTGTGTGTGTGTGTGCTTACATGCTGACCTGGTAGCTATAACCCCAGCTAAATCCAGCCACCTGAGGGAGTCTTGGGCATAAGCCAGCCACAAGTGACCCAGGATTTCAAGAAATAAAACAGTGATGATTCTAGGTCACTGTGCATCTGGAGTGGTTTTTACACGGCATTAGACAGTGGAGACACTGGACCTAAACATTTCTGCCGTTACAAGGTCTTGGTGAAATTCACCCAAGAATTGGTCCTCTTGCTAGCGTTCTCTGTCTGAAGCATTCAGCTGAAGTCTGTGCGCAGCCAAGCATCACATTTCATGTAAATGTCCTCTCACTGAATTCTTCCTTAATTTGGTTCATCACTGAGCCCGGCAGTTTAAAATCCTTTTGCTACCAGTATGGCAAGGGGCTGGCAAAGCTGAGCTTTAAGCCTGATTGGAATGCCAACTGCAGGTGTCATGGAGGTGTGTGAAGAGGTCCTCCTCTTTATTGTATGCTCCTCAGTGACAAGGTTTTGTGCGTGAGTAGGATGCCCGTAAATGCATGTGCGTGTGTGAGAATGCAGGTGTGTTCATGTCGTGGTGCACATGTGGAGGTCAGAGGATGACCTTGGGCATTGGTTCCTTCCACGTTGTTTGATCCGGGGCCTCTTGTTTCTGCACCATGCTGACTGGCCTGTGAGCTTCTGGGATTCTCCAGTCTCTGCCTCCCACCTTCCAGCAGGAGCATGCCAGGATTACAGATGCATATGCTACCGTATCCAGCTTTCTACTTGGGTGCTGGGATCCAAATTCAGGTGGTCAGGATTGCGCAGTGAGCACTTTACCCACTGATCCATCTCCCTAGCCCATGTCAAGGTTTTTGAGAAGGTTTATCATAGACCAGGAAACAGTAAAAAAGCCAGGGAAAGAAGGATCATCAAATCCACCACCTGGTGAAGATAAATAAATGGCCTGAGGTTCGAGCCTGACAGATTCCCAGGATCCTGGAGCTGGCACAGAGCAGACTCCTTCAGAGCTGTTCTGATTTTCCTTTCTGACATTTGTTGCAATTTAAAATATTCTCCCCATGCTAAAGACATGTCTCTGCCTCTGCTTTGCATTTATGATGAAATCAGCACCTTGAACAGGAGATCTGATCAGCCTGCCTCTGAGGCATCAGTCCACCCTGCCCTCAGCACAGGCTGCCCTCAGGACACACTGCCCTCAGCACATGCCACCGTCCTCTTTCTGTTACCAAAGCCAGCAGGTGGTTCTTTACTTCAAGTCTGTGTCACAGGCTATTCCCCCAAATCTTCACTTTGCTAAATCAGACTTACCAGACCCTCCTGGGAGTCTGTGGTTGCAAGCAACACAGAGAAGTTTGAGGATCAGGTGAGCAAATCACGAGATTGGTGGAGGGCAGGTGGCCCAGGCTCCTCACTCAAGTCTATGCAAGGTCAAGAACCAGAGCAGCTTGGGAATCTTAGGACAGACACCATCAAGGCTCAGCTGTTGAAACAGCTCATTGTTCTCTGACCTTCCAGCTCTCCAGATCCCATCGGCTTGTCCTTGTCGATCCTGAGTCCTCCCCCTCAGTGAGAGGACAGGACCCCTGAAATGGAAGCCCCTCAAGATGATCACCAGGGTGATGTCACTTGATGAAAATTGACCCAGAGCGACAGAAAGCAGGCATGCCTGCTCCATCGTCTCCTAGGCCTCGGCTTAGCTGTGACCTCAGAGAAGTTTTGCTTTGTTCTTGTTTTAATACTGAGTCTCACACTGTAGGCCAGGCTAGCCCCAAACTCTCAGACCCTCTAACCTCACCTTCCCTAGTACCAGAATTATAGCATGAGCCACCGTGCCCAGCTAAAAGCTGACGCTGGGTCAGTAGTTTGGGTCTGTTCTGTTCTGTTCTGTTTTGTGGCTGGGTGTGCATGGTCTGTTCTGTTGTGGTTGGGTGTGTGTATCTCCACCATGCTGGGCCGGTGCTCCATCACTACGCTA